CCCCGAACCTCCCCCAGGATCGGCCCCTTCCGGCCTGGAACACCGGGCATGACGTGCCATGGTGGGGAATATCCCTTTGGCTAGTTCAAGTCACCTGTCCCAGCTATGCTCCCTCCCAATTTCCTGTGTATCTTCTCGCTGGCAGAGCATGAGACACAAGCAAGAAAATGTCCTTGGTTTATGATAAACACAATCCAGCAAAACCAAAACAACAATGTATTATCACTTCTGAATTCAAAACACTGCACTACACTAGCTACTGAGAAAATTAACTCCATCCTGGCTAAAACCAGGACAAACTCAACAGTAAGTTTATCAGTAAAAGCAAAATTACTAAGTCCACTTCACTGGCAACATCAGTACCACAAAATTAAATACTAGAACATTATGAACTATTACTTTTATAGTCCCCTCAATATTAAGCCTGGTTTGATGATGCAGTGTGCTGGTTTTGGCCAGGATAGAGTTAATTTTCTTCATAGTAGCTGGTAAGAGACTCTGCTTTGGATTTGTGCTAGAAACAGTATGGATGACATAAGGATGCTTTTGTTATTGCTGAGCAGGGCTTAGATAGAGCCAAGGCCTTTTCTGCTTCTCACACTGCCACACCTGTGAGTGGGAGGGGACACAGCCAGGACAGCTGACCTTGACTGACCAAAGGGATATTCCATACCATATGGAGTCATGCTCAGCATATAAAGTCAAGAGAGAAGGAAGAAGGGAGGGAACGTTTAGAGTGATACTGTTTGTCTTCCCAAGTAGCCATGATGGTGCCCTGCTTTCCTGGGGATGGCTGAACACTTGCCTGCCCATGGGAAATGGTGAAAGAATTCCTTGTTTGGCTGTGCTTGCACACACAGTTTTTGCTTTACGTATCACAGAATCAGTTAGGTTGGAAGGGACCACAGTGGGTCACCTGTGGCCCTCCTTACTCGAGCTGGGCCACCCTAGAGCACATGGCTCAAGACTGCATCCAGAGTCCTGTGTCAAAATAATAAACTGTCTTTATCTCAACCCACAAGTTTTCTCACTTGTATGTTCAAATTCTCTCCCTCATTCCACCATGAGGGAGTGAGTGGCTGCGTAGTGCTTAGTTGAAGACTGGGGTTAAACCACGACTCTCAGCTGACATATTCTAGCATTTGTTGGAGGTGAACACTTCTGTTCCTTCTCTTGCTAATCCCTTTGCATTCCAAGATGCACAGGCCTTTCCCACCTCAAGCCAGCTTTGGCACTTGTCAGACCCTTCAGGGAGGCGAAACAGTTCACTGTACTGTCATTCTATGGAGAAAGGAGGATTATTACTGAGCACCTGTCATTCTGTAAAAAATGTGCACCACGTTTTCACTGCTTGGGCTACAACTTTGGATATATGCAGTGAAGCTTTAGAAGCAGAATTGTAACACCACCAGCCCATATTACCTTGGTGACAACGTGTTCTGCGATGTATTAGTTGGAGAAGTGAGTGGACTTGACCAACTTGCTGGGGAGCGTGGAGTAGGTCTTGTTAAAGGACTTCCCATTGATCCCTGGAGGAAGGAAGGTGAGAAGAGACACCTGAGTAGTACTTCAGCTTCCCTTTCAACTTATTATTGTATTTATTTTCTAGTGCCCAGAAACATTTAAAGAGCTTCTATTTATTTTCTTGGATTGGCTATCCAATTACTAGTAACATCAACCTTGTGTAACTTTGAAATGAGGATGTAAAACATAAAGCCACTCTTAAAAAGCACATTCAAACTTACTAAGTCACTTGGAAGCAACACAGACTTAGAAATTGTAATTCTACAGGAAAAACAAAAAGCATTCCATAAAGAGAGATATTGGCTACTAAGATAGTCTTCTATACAGGATTTGTGTTGCCTGCCGTCCTCTACCAACCTTCTTGCTCTCACAAATAACTTTACTGAAAAGAACTCATGTTCAAAACACCAGTAACTTCAGAAAGTATGGTAAGAGAGGTGTAGATACCTGACCACTGTTGCCTGTATTCCGGAGATGATTATGGAGAAGCTTTGTGGCTCCATCCTGAAATGTTTTTGGTAAAGCACCCAACAGCATTGTAAACTCTGGAGTATTGAGTTCAAAAAGGGAAATCAGCACTGACTGTGCAGCCTACAAGAAGAATACAAATTGAAGACATTAATTAGTGTTTCAAAGTAATTTTATCAGCAAGAGCTGCTGTAATGACTCGTAATCATAAAATGTGACTTAAGTCTTGATCAAGCCTGAATAAAGATATTAACGTATGTGAACAAAAGCAATTCCTATTTGCTGGTAAGCTAGAACTTCAGATTTTGATAAATTCAGGCATACAATGATCATTTTAACAAGAAGTCTTTCAGAAACATGCTTTTCGATCCCCCTAAGCCCAGAACCCCACCTAGCAAGACAAATACTGAAGGAATTCACAAAATGGCTTTTAAAGGGTTTATGAAGTTGAACAGATGTAAAGAGAGCCTGTGATGCCTTCTTCTGAGTTCTGCAAGTGGTAATTACAAGTGATGGATAACCAACCTACTAGCCTGAAAAGAAACAGTTAATGCTTTAGAAATAAAAAAAACCCCAACCCAACAAGACACCCTAATTTGGAATGAGACAGTAGTGATCACTCGATCTTTATATTCTTTATAACTTATCCTACAGCCAAGATAGTAAGTTAACCTTCCCTTCCCACTCTACTTCCTTTTACCTTTTTAAAAGATAGGAAAACATAATGAGGATTAATTTAGCTGACTACATATTCTGAAGATGTAAGTACTGGAGTTTGTAATCTACCAGATGTCACCTCCCACACCTTCAATTTTATCATTCATGATAAATCACCTTCATCCTACAGCATATTTTACTACATTTTTATTTTTTTACCTGAATAAAAATCAGAGCCCTCAACTGACAAAGCAACACAGGAAGTTACACAATATTTGTATTGCCTCTAGTAAAGGAATGTTGAGTGCATGACTTAGTAATGTTTGTACAGTTTCATGAAGAGTCACTGGATAGTGTAACAAACCTGTCAACATAGTAACTAAACGAACACATGCAAAGAAGTGCTAGAGAAAGTTCTCCAAAATTAACAGTTCCTTTGTAGTAAGGAACATGACTCCAAGATAACCAACTGTGTAGAATATCCAGCTCACCATCAAAGTCTGCCATGCACTGGAGAGAACCAGTGCCTCATGCTAGACAGAATCATTGGCAGCTTGCTTAAGCAGCAATATAGTTCAAACAAGTAGTTTAGAAATGTCTTTTAGAAATGTCTTTTAGACATTTATTTCCCTCCTTTTGCTTCCAGAGCAATGAACTGTAGCATTTTTTAATTAAGAGTGGAAAGCCACGGTATGAGCACACATACCTGCACACGTCTCAGTATTAAGTTTAACAACAAAAGTCTTAGCATGTCAGGTTGCCACAAATTATCTTTCCATACTCATGACTGGCTGTTCTCTTTAACTTTTATTTCCTCCTCCCTCTGATAGCCTTGCCTTCAAGTGATCACCCTGAATGCCCTCTGCAATCAGGCTTTGACATTTCTCTTGTCCTTGTTATTTCTTATGGTCTTTTAATGAAATTGACACAAAGCAAAGTCAAAACAAATCCAGCAACTGAGCAAATGTTTGGGAATTACCACTTTTTTTTCCTGTCATGCTATCCAGTCTCCACTCCGCAGTAACTGTGTCTATACAAGCTGCTAATAAAAGAACATGATAGAAAGTTCAGGGTTGTATCAGGAAAGAAACTGATACCAGCAAGTCTGCCCAATTCAGCTTTAAGTATCAAAATTGACATTGACTCACAGATGGTTTACAACTATGCAATTACTTTCTTTTTGTTCCTTGACAAAGAAACTCCACATTTTAAAGTTTTTTTCTCCTCAGCATAAGCTCTCTCTTGATACTTAAGTTCAGTCATACAGAGATCATCCTAAAAAGCCTGCAGTATGATTACAAGTATTTCTTCAGTTTGGTTTTCTTCTTAGAAGAACTCCAAGAAGATTCTAACTCTTTCTAGATGAATTCTAATCTTAGAAGAAATCTAACTTCTGAAACAGAGCTTTACCTTCCAGAAACAAGTCCCATGTCACTGAACTACACTAAGAGAGCCCAACTGCAGACTAATCAAGTAAGATTTTTCATAATACTTCACACTGGAAAAGTTTTTACTATGAAAAAAAAACAAAGCCATGAATTGCACAGGAGTACTTGGCAAAAACTTTCAATTAAAGGAAAACATACCAAATGCTATAAAACTTGTTAAAATAAATAAAATGAAAAAGCCTACGATAGCACGTTGAGAAGCCTGCTAAAGAGAATGAAACATTTTATACCATCAGAGTAACTCTCTTGACTTCTTATTATAAAATTCTATTTTCAAGAGTTATTAAAAGATTTGGGCAGTTAGTTGCCTCTAACAGCTGTGCTATGGAAACAAAAAATAAAATGAGAAAACTTATGTAATTAAGGTTTTCCAGATGATTAAACTCACTAGCAATTCTTTCCATGATTCAGTTACTTATTGACATAAAAATGCTTATTAGAGATAGGAACCATCAGATAAGACAGCTTGCCACGTGGCAGTACTAAAACTTTACTGATTCAGAAGATAGTGCCACTTCAATTCTCCTCCTCTTTTATGTCACTAGAACGTGATACTAAGCAAGAAAAGTCCATTGGATATAATCTATTATTGCTTTCTGATACTCATAAAGTTATAAAAGTGAAAAACTAAAACACTGTCTCAAATATAAACTCTCCTGTGTTCTTTTAATTACATATTACAAAAATTTTAGATACCAAGAAATCATGGAAGTTCTTTTTGCTTTTGTTCTCTTCACATTACAGAACTAGTACGACAGCTCCTACTGTTCTTGCCTACAAAACATCCCTCCTAAACACAGAAATTCTGTTTCTAGAAAAGATGAAGTTGCCAAAACTTAAACTTAATTGAAAATAGCAAAGCAAATCTAAACAAATGAACTGTTCAAACTTTTCAAACTGCAGAAATAAACAGAGAAAAAGAAACAGAAGAGTTAGTTCTCTGTGTCAAAGACACTTGCACTGATGAGCCATAAAGTCAGTATAGTTTTTAGCACTTAAGTGTGAACATGCTGATAATGGCAGCTGTGACAGAATAGCTGGTGACTGTCAGTATTCCATCAAACTGCAAACAAAATTCAAAGATTTTTGCTTTCTATAAATTAAAGTTCTATTTAGAAACTCTTTCTGAAGACTTCATTAGTACATTTCTCATGGTTATCCTGTATCCCTGGTATATATATGAAGCTCACAACTATTAACTTTCACTTCACAACATGATGTGGAAAAAGGAGCTTTGCTTTGCACTGGAACTGCAGCATTAAAAGACCAAATCTTTTATAACACCTTATTAAAGCACAAACTTTCTTTGGTCAAAGGTTCAACAGCTATTTACCCATCTTTTGTCAAACAAAGAATTTGAGAAAATCCAACAGAGATCTAGCCTGAGTTTCCTACCAAAGTTACAACTCCTGTTAGGCAGTGCTAGTAGTATGACAGAGGGTGGGCTCTGAAGTAATACTAACAATGTACAGAAAATGGCCACTAAAGACATTTTAATACTAGCTAGTGCTTGAAAGGAAGTTATTCCTTGTATAATCTCACCATATTAGCATACATGAAAACACAACCCTAACAGAGAGTTTTGAGATGAGTTAATTTAAAATTTTTAGCGAAATATTTTTAATTGTTGGCAAATATTTACTTTATCACTTTGGACACTTCATACAGAAAAATTAAGTGTGTTTACTGTTAAGTATATAAAATTATCTTTTCTATAGAGAGTATGTTTGTTTTTAAATGAAACTTCATTTGTTTAGGCAAGAAATACCATCTTCTCTAATTTGCCAAGATACTTGGAATGTACAGTAATTCTAAGGACACATTAACAAACATACCTTCCTAACATCTGAGCTTTTAGGTTCTGTGGTCCAGGTGATGATTCGAGACACTGCTAATCTAGTTTCACTTGAATTTACAAAATCTCCTGGATCCATTTGCTGCGCAAGAGTTTCTATGTATTTTAGGATTGCAACTTTGACCTGCAAAGAGAAACAAGAGTCAGGTGGACAACAAAAACAGTGTGGTACAAGAACATGTGTGCTCAAAGGGTAGTGTTCATTTCCTAAAATAAAGATTATTTTTCTTCCAATTAAACTAGAAATGTTTTCAGCACAGATATAAAACTTTTTACAACAGATCAATTTACAAGTGGATGCAATATTTGAAGAAGGGAGTTATTCCACAGAAATTCTAATATTTCATAGAAAGCTTACATTTCAATGGAAGCAACTAAAACACACACAAATCACTGCATATGCAAAAGCTGGCATTTAAAAAAAAAGAAATAAAGAAAATATTTATTCAAGATTATTAAGAACTTTTTTCAAGTACTAAAATAAAAAATTAACACCATCTGATGAACCAATAATCAGTTCTTACTAGTTCCTACTAGGCAGTTAACACTCAGCACTTCTTTTTATAAAACATCAGAGTTGAGCAGTCACTGTCTTTTGGAATAAGCCACATGAATTTTCCCACTGAATACTAAAAAGGTATGGAATGGAATTTCTAGAAAAGGCTCAGAAGGAGTCCCACGCATGCTTCATTTGAAGATATTTAGAGCAGAGACATGGATTTGCCAGGGAGAAAGAAAAGCTGCTATCTTCCCTCATTTATCTGAGCATCATTCTCTCAACCCACTAACTTCTTATGCAGAATCCTGTTCTGTACATCCCAGACCACAGCCTCTCTCCAGCTTCCCCAATACTGCACCACTTGGTGGGATTGCACCAAGGGCTGTTATGCCTGTGTATTCCTGGAATATTTATCTCTTCCACTCCTGCTGCCCCAGACACCTGTCACCCAACCTGTCAATATACGTGGTGAACATTTATTTAGGGCACCTATTTGGCTTAGCTGCTTTTATTTCTACTAGTAATTACAGCAAACCAGAAATATCTAACAGGAGGGAGACACCTAAGTCCATCATAATCGGAGACAAAATGTGTTCTGGGGGTTATTTTTGATTTTTCGTGGCTTGTAGTGTAACTGTTCTAAGCAAAGCTTTTTAGAAATTTCTCTTGGTCATGAAACTTGCAAGTTATTAAAAACTCATGATACACTGGCACACACACACGAGGATTAATAATGAATATTTCATTTTCAAAGCAGCTGTTAAAGCTCAAATTCTCCAAAGTTACACAACAAGCAAGAGCTAGAGGCTTTCATCTTATGCAGATCAACATCAACAAATGCAGTGAAACCCACACTATTTGCTAGATTCTTTCCAAGGAAAAAGCAAGCCATGACCACCTCTGCAGCAAAAAACCTTAGGCCACATGGCTTTCCAAATAGTAATAGTTAAAATTTCTGCGCTACCAAGTGAAACAAAACATTATGATATCACTATGTTTCACTATTCAGGATTTAAATATATCTAATCTAACACTTGCAAAAAATTGCTGTTAAGAACTGTAACACTTAGAACACCCAGTGGCATTTCTCCCAATGAGAAAACTCCAACATACTGCATCAGAGAGCAGTATTATTCAGTGCTAAACTACTGCCTGAGGAAATTGCACAGACTGCTGGGAAGATGGAGGCTCTCAGGAGACAGCAGAGCACTGAACTGAAGATGAAGGGAGAGAGTTCATACTAACAAAGCTTTTCACAGGGAGACAGATTCCCAAAGCTAAATTTCACAGCTATTTTAAAAAAGAGTGTACTTCTAAGAGAAGAAATTCTGGAAGGGGTACACACCTTTCTATGCTCACATATCATGAGACAGTGTTATTACAGATAAAAAACCCCACCCTGAAGTAAACCCCACAGTAGCATCCAATCTACTTTAGATGTATTTTTGCCAGTATTTCTAGCAATTATGTTCAGAGGTGACATTTAGAAATGAGAAGTCTAACATAGTTCTCTTCAACAATCCACTTAATATTTCTTAGAGGAGGCAAAATCTTTTGGCTGCAATGAAAGCATCTCCAGAATTATTACAATGAGCATTTACTGAAACCACTCTCTATGAAGTTGTTTAATACTGTCTTGACTTTCTCTGTACTCTTCTAGGCTGAATTTATTTCAGTTTTGCTGGACTATAAACACTGATGCATTTTTCCTGTGCAGCATGTAACAGAGGTAGACATTTTGTGAAAGAACAGCACTGCTGTAGTAAGTAAGCTGAACTATAGATCAAGTTATAATTAGCACTATTACTCACAAAAAAACCTGATTACACATAAATGGAACTAAAGTGCTTCATAAACATCTTTCACATATAATGAAATGACAAATTCTGGCACAAAAATACTTGCAACTACCTCCAGAGATTCAGGAAGTACTGCAAAGATGCCACACAGTCAGTGCCAGAGGGTAAATTGTTTTCCTGTCCTGTGAAAAATTTGAGATGTACACGGTTTCTTTTGCTGCATCGGGGTAAGAGAAAAGAATTATTTCATGTAACAAGAAAAAAAAAGTAGAAAGGAATATAGAGAAGTTGCTTTTCTTAAACCAGAAAATAGTCTGGTTTAAATCTCTTGCAGTAGTTTTCTGGGATGGAGAGTGTACTCTGCATTACCCAGACTGAATACAAGCACTCATTCAAAGTGACTCAGACTGCCACATCCCAGGTGTTTGTCTCTAAGGAATAACTGCCTCTGCCATTAGTTAGCCAGATTACTTATATGTACACTGAAGATCAATATTAAAGGGCTCTCTCATTCCTGCGATCTGTGTCATTGGTTGGTTGTTTTTATTTTAATCCAGAAATTTTAATACTGATTTAAGAAAGAAAAAAAATCTTCGGATCAATTGTGGCAAAAACCTGTCAACAAATCAACATTTTCAAAGGCAAGAAGGATTCAGAAACTTAACTCTGATCACAATGCTTAAATCAATCCTTCGCCGAGTCTGAGCCGTTTGATATTTGACCCAAGAAAAATGAAGTGATGATTGGAAGTGTATTTCAGGACAATATCTAGCCTTTGGAAACTATGTTTTGCACTTGCAAAAAAATAAGCTTAATATCCCATGTACATTTGGCTCCTATGCTCATCCATACACTTGGCCAAAACAGATACAGGTATCTGGCACCTCTAAACTGAGTTTCAGCAGTTCACCACACCTACATGTAAAATGACCACAGAAGAAATAAGACAGATCCAGCACAATACACCAAGATGCATTTTCCATAGATTAGGGCAGTAGAATTCTATCTTCTCTCCAGTTGGTCCTCTTACTGCCTAGTATCTAAATCCACCTCTGTGGCCACTCCAAAAGCTTGAGCTTTCTTGCCTGAGACTTAGCTGTCTTTCTAAGTGTGAGAACAACAACGACAGTTGATCATTATTTACTAACTACCATGTGAAAAACAGAGGGAAAAGTCATGTGTAGAAGGGAATCATTCCATGGAGCAAATTTCTCATGTACCATCCTTTCTTGTATCTGAACATCTTTAAGGATGCTGAAAATACTTTCTCTGATTTTTTTCCTGTCGCAGCGAATGCTGTGCACATTCTGCAACAAGATAATCATTTATCAAAAAACAAAAGCTGAAGACTTCAAGAACTGGGGTAGTGCCCTAGGATTATCAATTAATCTGTGAGATATCTGGGTGCACTGAAGATGAGGATTTAGACAAAATATCCAAGAATGTGGATATCAAAGAGATACTTCTACAATTTATGCTCAGTAACTTTACTGTGTGGATCCTGAAGTTGTAGCTACCACATGAAGATGGAAGTAGGGAGTGGATACTACTTTCTTCTGGAAAGAAGCTTAAATACTTTACTGTCCCAGAAATTCATTTTAAATACTCTTGAAACTATTTTCAGAATGTCTTCCCATTAAACATTTCATATTTCCTAATTACTTCTGGGTCACAGCGAATATTCTTGAACTCAGCCTCAACTCAGCCTAGTAGGAGTCCATGTCTCATTCCAAACCTACACACTCAACTTTCTAACACGTTTGATACGTGTTTTTAGGGAAAAAAGAACATCTCAACCACCAAATTCACCTTTCCTGTGGAGGAAAACCAAGTAAAATAAAACCAAACTAAATCTGCACCAAAGATTCATTTAAACAACAAACTGATTTTTACTACCTCATTTTCTGTCTTCAATAAATGACAGCAGTCCCTTTTTAACACAGCTCTATGAAGCAATAATGGTCAACATATCAACTGTCCTCAAAAGCTTAAAAATTAAAGTTTTACTGTATTGTAGACAAAAAAGGCATGTTCATGTGACTTTAATTTCAACATAACTTGGAAAAAGGAGCATCTTTGTGCAGTATCAAATTGTGTAAAAATATTTTGTGCAGGATAGAGCAGATAATGCCAGTTATCATATGCTTGTTATTTCCCCATTCACATCACTTACAAATCTTCTTAAGCTTTGATGCCTTTATCCTACAATCAACACTCTTTGAAACTGCAAATGTACTAGAGAATACATTTTTACTTTTCAATTACGGTGGCAGGTCTATGGACTATAGATTCTTATGTAAAAATGTGTGTAATTATAAAGCTACACACTGCTTTCAGGGAAGTAAAATATATCACAGAGGGTGCTGATTTTTAATATAGTAACTCAAGTTCATTTTAATATTAGAAAAATTTAAAATAACTCAAGACCTATCAGGCTTAACACAGGAAAAAATATATATGAACTAGTAAAACACGACTGGGAAATCACAAACATAAAATTAGAAAAGACTTGATAGAGTGAGTTTGCATAACCAGCTTGATGTTAGGCAGCCACATTTTCTTGCTCATTTTTACTGTACTGTTGTTTTATTAGATCTCTCTTGCAGCAAACACTTTCATACTAGTGTCATGTTTAAAATGGAAAATCTGCATGCTTAAAGTTTCTCGCAAAGGTTAGTAGCAGCATACAAATGCATTCAAATAAAAATTATTGGAAACACTGTAAGAGTTTCACGTAGGGTTAAGAGTAAAGACAATAATTCAGACAAAAACCTTGGAGCTCCAAAAAGAGCGAAGCTGGTCCTGTAGTGCTGGCTTGACTGTCTGAAAGTTTACAAAAACAAAATCCACTAATTGAAAACCTTATTTTACTTTGGTTTTAAACAAAATAAAAATAACAATCCAAAATCAACTATTAAGACAAGCAAATGTCTATCAATAAAGATTTCTGTTCACAAATCAAGCCTGAAAATTCTTACCTTCAGGCTAGGTGTTTGGGTCTGGTCAACAGTAAATCGCATTAAAATACTGAACTGGAGGTCATTTGGAAAAGATTCCCTGTAAACAAGCAAAACAAAATTACATGAAAT